GAAGTAAAAAAGTTGTGAGAGTAGTGACTTGATATGATTATGAGCAGTGATATATTGTGCTCGAAACGTGGTCATCAGTTAATATTACTGTATAACACTGTGTGACACTTTATCAAAATAAAACCTTATCAATAATGGAGTTATACTCTACCATCACAGTGGCCAAGTTTTATACTTATATCATACTATTTTAGGCTATAGACCTAAATAAGGCCAGCACATTTTGGAATTGTGTATGTATATAAATAGTTGTTTGGTATAACAAGGCTGTCCAATTATTGGTTTCGAAGTTTACGCTATCTTAAACAACTGGAACAGATATCTTTAACTTACACGACTTTGATTTGATTAGTGAGGATTACTAATCGCTAGGTGCACTTGTTTCACAGCATCTTTTCCTCGTGTATTAACATAAATTTTTCACAAACTTAACATATCTTTACTTCATTCTATACAGGGTGTGCAGTATCAAAGACAGGACGAAGGGACTATTAATTTGAATTATAGTGCAATTCAAGTTTTCATTCCGATTTCAGTAGTCGCTAGATATTCTGAAAATATGATACGGAAATATATATATGAATTACTGATTGCGTTAGTTCTCAGGTACTCTTTCATCCCTATATTATTATTCCCCCACGGTCTTAGTGGAACATAGGACTTTATATTCATATCTCCAATTCACCCTTTTCTCTCCTGTTGTCTTTAGCTGGCTCACTGATTTCCCATAGGTTATCATCTCCTCCTTGCTACCCTTACAGCCCAGCCCATATCGTTGTTCCCGGTTCGGGTTCCAGTAGGTGCCTCAATGTGTGATGTCATCCAGTGGTATCCTCAGCGTATATTCAGTTCATCTCAATTTCCAGGATTTCATTATGAACTGACACCGCTTAAAGGGCCATTGGAAAACTACATGCGAGTACAAGAGAGTTACCCCGTCCTAGTTTAGGACTCTTCATCAGCCCTCACCCAACTCCACGGTTTGAATCCAGGACCTCGAGAGTACAACGAGACCTTGTAGGCCATCAAGCCACTTGGACTTGATCCAATGGCCAGTCCATGTATTCCAACTCCTGCCAATTCACGATATTGCGCAACAACTAGCGAATTTCATTGGCGGGTGTTTTTCCTCAAACCCAGTGACTTGATGGTCTACCAGCTCACTAGCCTTATAACTAGAAGGTTCTGAGTTCGAACTGTGGAGGTGGGTGCGTACTGATGAAGAGTCCCAACTAAGATGATGAATCAGCTGTTCAATACTCCCAGGTTTCCTAATTGTCCTCTAACTAATGTCAGTTCATGATGAAATCTTGATATCAACCAAATCCCTACAAACCAACGCTTGGACATCTCCATTTTCTTCCACCTGTTTGTTGGGAATTGGTTCTTGGTTGTCATGTCCTTGGACTTGCCTGCTGCGTTTCTTTTCTAGTCATTAAGTCGTCAGAAAGCAGCCAGCAATAGGGGCAGCTGCTGACAAATGTCTGTAGCGTGTTATAAACATTTTTCATGAAGTCCTTTCTGAAGCATATGAAAGCGCTGACCAAAATTACACTAATATTGGAAATGGAAATTTTGTTCTTTATGGTGAATGCTGTAGATTTATAAACCGGTTTTAGACTGAGGATGGTCTGCCCTGTCTTTCTGATCCTGGCTTTGACCGCGTAAATAAACAAAATATTCATCTACACAGCGTGAATAAAATTTCTTAATATCCACAATTTGCTTATATCCTTTTCCTGTACAGATAATATGCTGGAATACGGAATCACTGACTGTTTTAGTATTCAAGCACTTTTTTACCCCTAAATAGATAAGAAATGGTGTCTGTATATACAGCTTGAATGAAATTTACTGATATTTGTATTTTATGTTCATCCTTTCCCTCAAGAAGAGGCTAGTCGTTTGTTTAAATATAATGAAAAGCTTTTCTTGCCAACATACACAGATCAGAGTGCTGGAAGTTCTTGAAATGAAGTCTACTGCAACTGATACATACGCGTGTACTGTGCAGCGTTTCCACTACTTTGACTGTTATGGAAATTAAAACGTTCAGTGTGTATATATTGGTAAGACGACGATGAAAACGCAGCAAATTAGCATAAATTCGATAAGTGATCTCAAAATCATGATCAGGGTTGGTATAGTGATAGAGGTTGATCAAGTATTCTCCCTTATGAAACCATGCTGGAACATGTTCTCGTATCTGCATGGAAAGCGTCCTCTGACTATGGCCAATATTCCCCCCTATACAAGGGCAGGTGAAGTGATAGATGCACATGGAGGTAGCCAGATGGGGAGGTTTATCTTTTACAGAGACAGAGAGTAACCCCATTATGGATAGAATTTTATTTTGATAAAATTACAGAGTCATATAGTAGTATTTACTGATGACGTTCTGAGCACAAATTATTGCTCATAGCCTCCAGTTGGTGAAGGTCATTTGTAGATTTGGAGCAAAGAAAGTCTGACTGACTGAATTAGTAAGACAACTTTTGAGTACATCTAAGTCCCGTTCACCTTTAAAATCCAAATGCATGAATATTGTTTATTTTTTAACTGAATCACTGATCAGTTTGGATCTCGTATCTCTCGTATTTCTTCCAATTAATCAGTTCGTGTAATCGCATTCTGTATGAATATATTTCTGAGTCAACGAAATCAGAACTGGCCCTATTCATGCAGTTACCTCTGGTTCTAGTGGGAACTCGTGACCAGCAGAGTACAGCAGCTCAAAAGTGAGGACAGTTCCTCATCGAAGACATTGCGAAGTGGTCGCGCTATGTAGGGAATTGCCGAAAGTTGGAATTCATGGAATGGCTGGCCATTGGATTGGGTCCCAGTGTTGTGAAGGTCAACGAGCCAGCTCGCCTTGCTCGAACCGTGGAGGTGGGTGCGTACTGTGAAGAGTCCTAAACTAGGCTGACGAAACATCTGCCCAGTACTCATAGCTGGTTTTCCAGTGGCTCTCTAACTGATGTCAGCTCTCTCGCCGACCATGCACATGGTCCGGGGTCCGATTCCCCGCCAACGCACATCTGATATCTTTGGTCGGCCTGCAGAATTTGGGCTACCGATATCCATGCTGAAAATTCCATACTTTTACTGAAAATGCGTGTGGCATCAAGCTGTAATCGAAATAAATTTTAAAAATCCTCCAATCAAGAAATCATAACTACAAATGCTTCTTATCTTGAGGCAGAAAGAATGAATTAAACTTCTCTTTCTGGAGAGTTAGTTAGATTTCTATTCCATAGACGTTTCCGATGAATGGATCTTTAAACAGATTTATCATTACACCCACTAAAACACACATGAAGAAAAGGGGATGCATAGTTCGGATTCCTATTCTGTAGTAAAAAATTCCAAAGAAGGGCAGTACTGGTTGAATGTAAAGAAGATTTCATCAATTATTACATCATTATCTCAGATAATAAAAGTGTCATCTACGTATCTTCTAGCAATATCAAGACGACTGATTGTTAGACTAAGGTTTTGGGTTCGAACCACAGTGGGTGCTGCTGATGATTCCCAAACTAGGATGAAACAGCTGGCTGTCCAGCACTCTCTCTGGCTGATTTTCAATGGTTCTCTAAGCGACATCAATCCGTGATGAACTTGTAAAAACAAAACTTATCCCTACAAACCCACTATAAGAAATATAATGATCAGCCAAAAGTGAAACCAATGGGGATCCCATAGCATTGCCATCACTGTCTCTAAACTATGTGCAACGAGATAGTCACATGCATAGCCAACAATTTCTGTGAGATGTTCGTAATTGGACAATGACGTCAAATATAATGAGACCTTGACTTTGTCTGAGACATGAAAATCATTATTTACATGTATATTACTGAATTCTATCACCAGTGAAATACTCAGAAGACCAATAGTTCAGCGAAGAGTCTCTTTTTGGCGAATTCATTTTCTTAGCTGTACAATCAAAAATATAAATACATGATTGTTTCGTATGTGTGTGTACATTAAACTTGACAAACGAATATACAATTAGTAAGTTCAGATGAATTCGATGTTGATATCAGAGGGAGCCAGGTTTATCGGTCGTTCGACGCGTATCCTGTCAAAAAGGGTCAAAGAACACTATCCAGCGTGGCTACAGAAAGGAAGTAATGGCGGCATAAGGAGTGCAATAATCGAACACCTCGTTAACACTGGTCATTCCATCTCAACAAACGCCTCCTACTTCAAAGTAATCTACAAAGTGAAGAACAACATTCCAAAGACAGTACGATTCCGTCTTCTTTGAATCGCAGAAGCCCTAGCCATTCAGCTGGAGGAACCAGAACTATGCATACAAAAGAAAATTATTCAACCACTTCTACTATCACTGTAACAACTCTGTTGATTTGACTTAACTTTTGTTTGTATGCTTATTTTTCTAGCTATTTAAAACTCTTGCATAATTCTGTATGTTATTTTGTTTCCATATCCACCCTGAGTAAGACTCTTTCATCAAACTCTTCATGTTGTTATTACGTAGCTCTTATTTAACAATCGTCTGTGACAACTCATCACTTTTGTTACTGCCATCTTATATCAACACATCCAATTCATCTGAACTTACTAACTGTATTTTCGTTCGTCAAATTTAATGTACACAAACATACAAAACAACCACGTATACCTATTTGCGATTGTACAGCTATGAAAATGAATTCGCCGAAAAGAGACTCTTCGCTGAACTACTGGTCTTCTGTCTATCAATGTTCGAATGCGGATTTTTCATTAAAAATACTTAGAAAATGACCTTCTGACTGCCTCCAGTATTTCAGGTAGCCATATATATATTTAATAGGAGAACGTTTCTACATGAATACACATAGAACAAATATCCGGTTATATATCCTCATTTAACTCTTTGGAAAAGCAACCAATCAGGAATAGAATTAAATTAGCCAATTAGGAAGAGCGGTTTTAAAAATAAACCTTATAAATTTCTCCTTACCTTTTAAAGGGTTAATAATTTTCATAAAATAATCACTTTTCACCTCTTACTATGTCTGATAACAACCATAACAATAATAATAATAACGATAGTAAAGAAAATAAAAATTTGGAGATTACTGAAAGAAACACTACCGATTCCTTGTGCCCATTATGTTGGATTTTCATACAGGAGATTAAAAAGTGTAGCGAGCTGACTGATGAGACATCGTCACTCAACAACTATCTAAATCCTCATCATGCCCAGCATCATCGTTTACTCCTGAAACACTCAACACAAAGCAGTCAAAACAAGATTCACATTCCCACATCCAAGTTGAAGCGTAAAAAACGTAAACCCCTGCCAAGAAATGATCACATTTCTGTTATCATCTTGGATGAATTAAAACGTTTCTGTGAGAATACAACAATTCGTGGCCTGCCAAGAATAGTTCGTTCACATAATCGTCATTTACGCCTATTATGGTTAAGCTTAGTGTGCATACTTGTCTTAGGATGTTTTGCTTGTATGTTTTTCTTAGCACGACAATACTTAGAATATAATGTCATCCATCCACCACGTGTCCTCCGACATGCATCGAGTCCATTTCCATCTGTAACTGTTTGTAATTTTCGACCTATTTCCCCAGAAGGATTAAAATATTTACAAAGTAAAGGTTGGAAAACACCAAGAGAATTTCTGCTGGATATAGCTGCATATGCAGAACATTTATATTATTATAAACAGAAACAAGCTGAATATAATGCAGCGAGTGCAGCTTTTTCATTAGCAGGCTTCTTAGAAAGTCTTCCGAATAATGAAGAACGTAGGAAACTAGGTTATCAGCATAACAAGTTAATAATTAAGTGCCAAGTAAGTATAATTATTTGTATATTCTTTGTGTTATTTTTATTATCATCATCTATTTTTATAAAAATCCTTTATGTTCCGAGTGGAGCTTTGAGATTTTAAGTTCATTTTTGGGTTGGCTTGGTGTTTCAGGATGGAATTTGTGGCTGCAGAGTAGAGAGGATCTTTTTTCTCCTTTATAAAGCCATGAAGGTAAATGTTCGATAATATGTTTGGATAGCAAACGTTGAGTACGGCCAACATACCTAACTCTACATGAGCGGGTAAACTTCCCACTAACTGCTACAAGTGTTAAACTATTGATTCCAAGGGGATAAATATTGGTATATCCACTAACTATTTGAAGGGACTCCTATTGAGATGCACTGTAAATGTCCAATTCTCCTTCCATAACGAAATGTATCGACGAAAAGAAGGTATGGCTATGGGTTCATCAGTGGGCCCACTGCTAGCAGATGTTTTCATGTCAGCTTCGGGTTTTACGAGAGATTTGTAGGCGATACTTAAATTATCTCAAATAATGAGGGGTCTATGGTGGACATCCTGAACTTTCTCAAAAGCTGTCATCCTACAATTCAGTTCACATTACACAAAACGTCGAACACAAAAGTATCCTTTCTGGAATTTAAATTAAGCAGACGTTAATAACAGAATGCTGACATTTAACGGATATACAAAACTCCCTATCACAGTCCCGTGCATATTGCAAGAATCATGGAACTCAATCAGTCGAAGCGAGTGTTGTTCGCATCTGAAAAACTAAAATAAACAATATGAGATTAAAATGGATTTGGTTTAATACCATTTGAGTAAGACTGTAACGATAGAAGGCAAGAGTCAGGCAACAGATCATTTATTAAGGAAATCAACGCATATTTATATATATTTTCATGTACATTACTATGGTTATTTAAGTAAACAAACAGTCTTCCGATTGGTTGTTTCTCACGTAAAGTTAATCTTTCATCTATTTGTGACTGTTTCTTGAATGTCAAATCCTCTATATGTTAACTGCATCCGCCTACGCAAAGTATGCTGTGGTCGGTTTTGAATCAATCTTTGTTCACATTTTCTCACGACAAATCTTGGGAACGTAAATATTGACGTAAATTACTGTCTACCAATTTGGCTAGTAGACAGCTCTCACCACAAGACAATCGGTTTACGTCAGATAAAAGTCTGTTCATATCTGAACAAAAAAAATGCAAAAGCTACTTACAACAGTATCGTCTCATCATTAGATAAAGGTGCCAGACACGTCCGCTGCTTTCGACTGTGTACCTAGATGTCTCTTGCTAAATAAGCTCTCTATGACAAAAACTGCGTCCTGGGTCACTAACTGGTTGCATTCCTACTTCTCTAACAGAATGCATTTCACCGTATACCAAGGTAAATCCTCCTCTGCTGCGCTCACTGAAGCTGGTGCCCCCCAACGTGCTGTACTCTCCCCACTCCTCTTTTCTTTCTTTCTACATGACTTGCCATCTTCAAATGACATCAATTTTGTCAAATATGCTGACGATCTGACAGTATCTTTGCCTGTCGAATTTCAAAGTGACTGCTCTAAACTTAATGACTTTCTGTCAGAAATCAGCCAGTGGTCCAAGGAAAACGGTCTTACCTTAAACACCTCCAAATGTCAAACAGTCAATTTCACCTTTAGGCATAAATCCGACCTAATCAAACTGGTTGGCTCTCACGAGGTATGCAACATAGATGGCACTGAAATAGAAACCAAGTCGGAAATCAAATACCTAGGCGTCATTCTATCTGCTGATCTTTTCTGGTCGTCTCATATCTTGGCAATTTCTAAGAAAATATACCTTCTACATCAAGAAGTTAAGACATTCTGGTATAACCCAGCCCTTACTCCTACAATTCGTTAATTCTCGCATTCTGCCTATTATTCTCTATTGTTCCCCCTTAGTTTTTCCAGAGATACTGGAGAATGACTATATCTTATTACGTAGGGTGTTAAAGGTTGTTAACAGAGTAAGCAACGTGCCACTTAACCAGCTTGTTAATATTCTGGTTGACAGGCACATGGACTCATGTGAAAAATGGGCCAAATCCATTTTATCTAACTCTCACCACCCTCTTCACTCACAACTCTCCCCTTGCATCTCATCAGGCAAAACCAGAAGCCTATATAGAAAACTATATGCTTGCACCAGCAAGTACAAAAACTCAACCATACCCTACTTAGCTCGTGTTCTGTGTGATAAAGAAAGCATTAGGCGTGACACCTATAATTCATTAAATAGTCAGTAGAACAACTGGATCTCCTCTTTCTAACTCATATCATTTATAGGTACAACGTTTTCTTTCTTTCTTTTCGTATCCTCTCTCTCTCTTTTTCCGTTATGTGCTGCTTTGTTTCTTTCTCTCGCTTACACCAGTAAATATGACAGCACCTACTTCTCTAACACCTTCAAACACTGTTCAGCTTTGGCTTTGCTACCGATATGCCAATATGTTGTTGTCATAATTAACTGAGGCTACCGATAATCTATGTAGAATTCTATTTATTGATAATGTACTAACTGGATGCAATACTGTAGTAAAAATGCTGAGAATTCCATTCTGTATCACATGTACTGTTTTGGAATAGAGGAAATTATTATTAGTATTAATTCGACAGAGATTGTCAGATCATCAGAGTATTGAATTAAAATTGGCTTTTGGAGAATTCAGAAGGTCATGCAAAAAGAAAGAAAACAGGGAAGGAGAAAGTACAGAACTTTAAGGCGGACCATCTTCCTTTAGCAAAAAAGCGAAGCAGTTTTCCTTTGAAACAGTATGTATGTTATTTTCTATCTAAAGAATAGGAAGACAGTTCCAAAGTACTTCCAAAGTGGAATTCCACTGTCAATTTTCCATTTCACCTTGTTCCTCCTGTAAAGTCCTCTTAAACTGGTTTCATGAGTGTCCAAAAGTTTGCATTTCCTTCTCATACAGTCCTTTTTGTGTCACTCTCAGACGTTTGACTCGGCATTTATTATTCGGATTGTACCGCAGGGCTTGTCGTGGGAGGTCACTTAACAGTATACTCATAGCTGTAGTTCTTCATATTGCCAGTAATCACTAATTTCGGATACTTTTCCAAGACAAACTTTGTCTTGAACGTTTTAAATACATCCAAGAAAGCTGAATAGATACTTTAGAAATTCAGTGAGCGATTGCTAATGAATAGTTTTAATTGGGTTATAAGAAATTATTTCGAAAATGCAAAATAGTGTAAAGAAACTCTTGAAATATAATCAAGAATTTCAGCTTCCAGTTAAAATGAATCAAAATGTAACAAATAACTTCAGTACTTCAGGAAAAAAGGATGTTTTTCTTAATTGGCGGATAAACAAAAGGTAGGAACGAAATTTTTATGTGATAAATCATGGAAATTCATACCACTGAACAGACATCCTAATTAGTTTAATTATTACTAGTATAAAAAAAATAGAACTTAAGCGCTTCACTAGGAAGAAATTTCATAATGCTATATGTCTATTTTACGCAGCACACTTCTTTACGTTTTTAGTGGGACATAGGACCACTTCAAGCTAGAGCTTTGAAGTTTCGGTAGCAGTGTTGTTTATTTTTATGGGATACTGGGCTGCTAGCCTCATGCCCAACCTTCTCTCTTTACCGGTCTAATTACTGGCTTAATGAGGTGAATGAGTGCGTCGGCGGCCGGGGATCGGACCCCGAAGAACTTGTGTGATTGGCAAGCATTCCACCACTGCTCCAACGATGTACTATGCAGCACACAGTGAGACAATATTATTGTAAAAACGCAAACTGACTCGTCAAGGTCTGAGGGTAAGAAACCGATCTCTGTGTCCTACTGTATGGCTGAACAAAACTTTATTCAGACACTGAACAGTCACAAAACACTCCAAAAGTAGCAAGTAGACGATTACTCATCGTTAGATCTATGTGGTTCTATTCATCAGTAGTACCCTAAAAAATCAAAGTTACTTCATCATTGAAATTAGGCATATATGGTGAACATAGACAAGACGGAGGTCATGAAAATAACCAACTAACAACAACAACAGCAACAACATCCAGTACCAATCACCATCAATGGGAGGGATTTGAAAGAGGTTACTTTATTCACTTATCTAGGGAGCATTGTCTCAACTACAGGAGGAACGGACGAAGATGTCAAATCGAGAATCGGGAAGGCGAGAAACACATTCATCAACCTGAAACCAATCTGGAAATCTTCGTCACTCAGCATCAACAACAAAATTCGGATTTTCAATACAAACCTCAAGTGAGTCAGTTCTTCTTCTATACGTATCAGAAACTTGGCGGTTCATCAAGAATATTTCCAACAGCCTGTTGCAGACATTTATCAACAACTGTCTTCGTTCTATACTGAAGATCAGATGGCCGGAAAGAATCACCAACAAGAAGCTATGGGAACAAACAAAACAAGAACCAACTGCTTCATAAATATGCAGGAGAAAGTGGAGATGTATTGGACACTCGCTGAGGAGGCCGTTGGGTGACATCGCGCGTCAGGCCATAGCTCGAGTGAAACCCGAAAGGGAAGCGGTGAGTGGGACGTGCAAGGGTGACATGGATGAGATCGTGTGAAGAGGAGTTGAAACAGTATGGACTAACATGGGTGCAGGTGAAAAGTACAGCAGAAGACAGAAGCAAGTGGAGGCATGCACTTGAAGCCCTATGTTCCACTAGGAACCCAAGGGAACAATAATAATAATATTTGGTGAAGACGATGTTACTTTCTGGGTACAATTCGAGTATTGTGGAGTACAACCAGTTAACTAAAATTCAACTGTAAAGAGTGTCTGAGAATTAAGTAAAATATTTTAAACGCGGTAGGATCAAAATTCCGTCCACAAGAATCACACACTAACAATTCAGGCAAATAATCCGACGGCAGAATCACCTTTATTCACAAAAAAAATTGTAGTCATAAAATAACACTCTGGGTCCCAAAGCAGCATCAATCTAAGCACGCTTACCACGAATGC